TKGGACTTGGAGCTGTATAAATAAACTGAACTTGAACTATGAAGATGAAATAAGATAAGATACTGTGAAAATAAAAAGCTGTAAAAAGTGTTTTKGTTTTAGTTTCTGGGACAGATTTTTAGGTGAAGTTTTGAAAAGATAGAAAAGAAACCACCAGATGAGGTCTGTGGTTGAAATACTGGCATCTTTTATCCTCTAAATAACCTTTTCTGTCTATAATCCAGGTTCTGGTGCTGGCTCAGCAGATGTTCTAGCTTTGGATGTTCCTGTTCGACCTTCAGCAGCCCAACGCTCTCACTCATGATGAAAACACTGAATCAGAGCAGACAGGATGGAACTGGACTCAGACACAAACACTGCTCTGTTTCCAGCCTCAGACTGAGCAGTCACAGGTAAATTCAGTGGTTTTAACTGACTGCTCACCTTCTCACATCCAGCAGCGTCTCCATGAGAGACAAGCTGAACATCTTCAGCTCCCGGACAGACCGGACCAACAGACTTTATCTGCTCAGGAAGAATGTGAAAACAACTGAAGGCTCAGGAARCGAGCTGTAAAAACATAAAACTTTCCACTGTTTTTGTTGAAACTCCCACACAAACGAACCCTCAGACTCTGGTCTGGTGCCAGGACTGACCCAGAGATGATGCAGGACCTGAAGGGGAATTCACTGAGTCAGAGTCTGAGCTCAGAGAGGGCTGGAGGTCCTGATTCACGTCTTGTCCTTCATGTGGACTCTCTGATCTTACAGCACCTGGATCAGACCAGAACCTCTGAGGTGTCAGTCTGGAACAAGTCTGGACTCCTGGAGGAACTCACAAAGACCAGGATGTGTTCTTGTCTACATGCTGTTGTGAGGACCAATGTGAATWATGTCTGTTATGAGGACCTGACATGGACCTTCAAGGACACATCAGGTTCCTCTGAGGTTTCTGCAGCAGAGCTGAGGATCAGTGAGCYCCTGACAGTGTCAAACAGCTGATGGTGATGAAATGTGCTGTGATGTTCTAGTTTATTAAAGTTCTGCTGAGTCTGTGAACAAGAACATTAAATCAATCATCCAGCAGCTGAGGAACCACATCAAAGCAACGGKAAATATTCAAGCATTACTGGACACATTACACCTTTTTTCTTACGCAGCTCAGGTTTTTAAAGTTTTCTGTCCAACAAGTGATGAGTAAACATTTAGCTAACAGCATGACCTTTGAACCCYGTGGAGAAAACTCATCWTTGTGCTCTTCTCTGATTGGTGGGTTAAAATCACAGCTGTGGCACAAAAACCACATCATTAAAGACTTAGCTGCCTACACAAACATGACCTCACAAACACGTGCACGCCAACACCACGGTTAGCACGCCAACACCACGGTTAGCACGCCAACACCACGGTTAGCACGCCAACACCACGGTTAGCATGCCAACACCATGGTTAGCATGCCAACACAACGGTTAGCACGCCAACACCACGGTTAGCATGCCAACACCACGGTTAGCACGCCAACACCACGGTTAGCACTCCAACACCACGGTTAGCACTTCAACACCACGGTTAGCACGCCAACACCACGGTTAGCACGCCAACACCACGGTTAGCATGTCAACAGCACGGTGTTTTAATTAAATCTGAAAAATCTGAGTGAGCATTAAAATGTAGTTTAGAAATAAACTTTATATTCCTCACATCCCCGTCAGCCACTTCTCTGCTTACTGACAGTTATTTTAGCTCATATTAACTCGTTAGCTCATGTAGCTCATATTAGCTTGTTAGCTTTTATTAGCTCACGCTAACTCATTAGTTTATTTTAGCTGAGGGCGGCACAGTGGCTCCGTTGGTAGAGCTGATGCCTCTCAGCAAGAAGGTTGCCGGTTCAAATCCCGGCCCAGGGACCTTTCTGGGTAGAGTTTGCATGTTCTCTCCGTGCATGTGTGGGTTTTCTCCGGGTACTCCGGCTTCCTCCCACAGACCAAAAACATGACTGTTAGGTTAACTGATAACTCTAAATGTCTCTAGGTGTGAGTGAGAGTGAATGTTGTGTGTCTCTGTGTGTCCCTGTGTGTCCCTGTGTGTCCCTGTGTGTATCTGTGTGTATCTGTGTGTCCCTGTGATGGACTGAGACCTGTCCACAACAAATATAAACTCAGAGTCTTACGTCGAGCTCTAACAGTCGGACATATTTCTAAAATCCCAACACAACTTTTGCTTAGCTTCAGAAATTCTTTCCTCCCTTTGAAAGTTTTGAAAACATTTTTGAATCCCGCGTGGAACAGTTTTGTCTACGTAAAACGTCCAGAGTCATTCTTGAACGCTGATGTTTTGTGTGAAACTACAGTTTGTAACGCTCACACTTCATGTCCAAACCTCTGGGAAAACCTGAAAACAAACACTTTATATCTGAAATCTGTGAGACGTGGCACGTAACCGCTCAGACGTTTGTTACAAAACTCTGAATGGAGCCATGTTTAATCCAAATTTATGCCAAATGATATTTCTAAATAGTTTCTTTGTAGCTAAAAATCTTAAACTTTAAAAGCTGGAAGGTTCTTCAAGACACTGAATTCATGTCCAGAAAAATGATAACGTCCAAACGTTGTAATAAAACTGCCTGGYTGTTTTCCTTTCATTTGACTGATGTGTTTTTCTGCAGAACTGTGATGTTCAGATGAAGCAAAGAACCGCTGCAGACTCTCAGTCTGCCTTTAAATGTCTGAACTGATATTTATTTTTCTTCCTCGGCTCTCAGCCTCACCTCTCAGGTGATATTCTCCTGACTCCTGGATGAGGCTCTCCTCCTCCTCAGTTGAACCCACAGGAGCAGGCCGTCTTCAGCAGAACGTCGTGACGACCTCCATCATCCATCAGACAGCAGATGATGGTAAATGTCATGGAGTGTTTCTGTGTGTTGGGAAGTGAAAGGATGTGAGGTGTTCTGAGGTCATCCTGTGAACGTTACAGATGATGACCACTAGATGGRAGACCTTCAGCTTCTGTTAGTTTCTTATTTACAGCTGATCCAAACCCAAACAGACGCTTTGTGAAAAACAAACCGTGAASAGGTTTAGAGAGTAAAGCACGTCTGACTCTCTGCCAGTAAAACAAACATGGCTCCATCCTTCACTGTTTTCCTGCCTTCAGACATGAACAGACGGAGATCTTCTGTCTGAGTGCTGCTTCAGTTCACATCCATTTCCTCTAAACTCTACCTGACATGTTTGGTGTCTTTGGACACGCCTGGCCCTCTAAATAAAGTTGTGTGGTTTTGTACACGTTCCCTCTCCAACAGATGTTCTGAATGCGTCCCGGATGTGGGGTTTTCATGCCCTCAGGCAGGATTTAAAATCAGAGTGCATGAGTGTCCTGTCGGCGGTATGAAAGGTTCCCGACTGAACGGTGGTGGGGGTTATTTAAAGAAGCTGCCGGTCCAGACACGCTAACACAAATAAAACACGCTGCAGAGGCTTTATAAGGCAACTCAGAGCCATGAGCTCACACGGGCGGAGAGCTTTTCCAAAAACCTCCTGACACTTTCCTCAGAGTGATGACGTCAGAAGTGAAGCAGAGAATCCCAGACGTTTGTAAGTCCACGTCTTCCTCACTTCCTCTGACTCGGTTCTGACTTCTGGCTTGTTGGACCTCACGTTCTAGACGCGTGAGCAGAGAAAGGATGACTCCAGCGTAAACTGTCATTGCACCAAAGTTTGGTGATAAATACAGTTTTTACTTTTGTTCTTCCCAACAAACCGTCTCAGTTCTTTACATGAAACCTGGTCAGAACTTGGCTACATTAGGAAACCTGAAAAACTGAAAAACTGTCAGATATATTCAGGCTCAGAGTTTCTGACCTTCAGACGTCTCTCTTCTCATCAGATCAGAGCAACCACGTCTTTCAGGGTCCTGGTGAGGTTTTAGGAGAGTTTTAAGAACAGTAAAGGCTTGTTGTACAGTGTGATACAGTCAAAACTCCATCGTGTTTATTACAGTACGGTGGTCCCGGTGGAGCGAGGTGGGCTTTAATTTGAAGAAAGACGTCGGCCTCATATCTGCAGGACAACTAGAACTTTCACAAAGTCGAAGGAACGACTGCACAGATGTGATGTCTGGTGGTAGAGTTATTAAATATTCAGCATGATGAGACAATAAGAACAGCAGAAAATATGATTTGTAAAATCCTGAGAGAAAAGCAGCTTCATGTCTTCAACTGAACGTTTGTTGCTTTAACTAAAGTCCAAATGTGTTCTAATAAACCATGAAAATTTGCACCAAATAAACAAGTAAATCTTCAACATATACTCCCATTTATCACAATAAACTGTTAGAAAACCATAAAAAGCCTTTAGAACATCACACAGTGAAGGGGATTAAAATATTTTGGTGCACCATGTAACAAGCCCTCATAAACTTATTGAAGTCTTCTGTATGTTTTCCAGAGTTCCTACAAATGATCCTGTTTGATAGAATCAAACTTTACGATGTGTTAAAAACACATCTGCTGACTCTTCATGTCACAAAGAAAAATTTAAATCATCTTCAGCTTCAGTGATTTTATACTCAGAGGTGGATTAGAAAACTTTATAGTTTAATTCTTTTAGCAAATAAAGGAAACTTCACAGAAACATGTTGTAAAAATACGTTACGTTCCAAAAACAGAGTCTCCTCAGAACCACGGATCAAACTAATGTTTCTGGGTTATATGAGGAAGACTCCTGATGAAGACTTCAGTAGAAGTTTTTCAGGATCATTTTCCCAAAAAACCCACAGAGCAGTTTCTTCAGTAGAACTAATCATCCTGAATCCAGCAGGAAACAGGGGCTGGAGAGCAGRTAGTGACTAAAAGGCATTTTTAGAACGATGATGATGATGAGGATGATGAGGATAACTAAAAGAAACCAGCTACAGCGTGTCACAAACAACCCAGCTTGTTTCAGGGTTTTCCTGATAAAATGTCATGAATYCCAGGATGATTCAAAGGGTTTTCCACAGATTTTCTTCTTCAGTGAAAATGAGTGACTAATGTGAGATTTCTACAACACAAAACCTCCAGGAGGCTGACACAACAAGCGCCAGGAAATACAGTACAGGCCTAATTTAACTAAAGGTTGACATGGCAACGACAACAACAACAACGACAACAGCTTACAAAACAACTTATAACAACAACTTAGCTTACAACAACAACAACAGCTTACAAAACAACTTATAACAACAACTTAGCTTACAACAACAACAACAGCTTAC